GGTTCGCGGCCCCGGAAGGGAGCCCGGGGATCGCAGCACTGCGGTCCCTGCTTTGGGTTTTAATGTGCGTGCATTAATAGCTTTGAATCAGCACGTGCGGATGGAATCGAGAGGCGTGCGCCCTGAACATCCCGCTCCCTCCGTGAGGACCCCGCAACTCCCCGCAGTGACACACACTGCGGGGCACCGCCCAGCCCGCGTCCTCAGCCCGCGGTCCTACCTCAGCCCGGCTCTCAAGAGAAACCTGGAGGCGAGGCCAACATGACTGGTGAGCTGGTGAAGGCCACGGCCCAGGTCAGTGCGCGTCTACTTTCTCCTTCACGCAAGTCAGTCCTGTTGATCAGGATTTAATTTGTGTTCTGATTAGCATCTTCTTCCACTCTCGGTCCCACCATGTCTAGAGGACACTGCCCCTAACTTAACTGTCTGGCGGTCATAGCTGAGTAGGGCTAATCCCTTCTTACATCATTCTTTTTTGGTGGTACTGGAGATTGAATTCAAGGCCTCACACTTGCTAGACAGGGGCACTAGCATTTAAACCACGTCTGCAGCCCCTTTTGCCTTAGTTATTTGAAGATAGGATCTTGCTGCTTCTCAGCCTAGGCAGGCCTGGTACTCAGTCCTCTCATTTACTCACTACAAAGCTGGGAGAGCACTGAGGGTCTTGTGCTTTTATAGTTTTTACAAAATCTCTTTGAGGGAAAGTTCTCCTACTGGTGTTGTTCCTCCCTGATCCTGGATGCTTGAAATCATTGGATTCCCTGTGATTTGGGGCTTGTGTTAGAGGACTTGGAAGCAATATAGGCTAAATTAGAAATATTGATGGGGCTTGTGATGTATTGGAGGGGTCCTGGGTGTAAGTAAAGCCAACAGTTACTTGCAAGTTGAAGGTTAGACATATTTAGAAGGTGATGAGTTTCTGAGAGCAGTTGTAGCTGGGGATGGAGCAGAAGGACGTTTTAGGGGAGCCTGTGTGGAAGGGTAGAGTATTCGGGGGATTTGGGTTTTAAGAAGTTTATTAAGGTCTTTATCTTGGACCCCACCTCCATCAGATACTCCCAGCAGTGGGAGATATGTTCAACAGACCCATTCTCCCCACTGACCATGGCAGATACACCCCGCAGGGTTTCCTTTGCTTTGACTCTTCAGTACTTCTTACCTGAATGCTGAAAAACAGCAGGAGTACATGTACCCATGTAACAGGCCCTTTGCTAAGAGGACTAGGCAGAGAGGGTCTGATTTCCAGAAACTTTGGTTATATATTTGCTACCTGGATCTCTATACACAGGGAAGGTTCCCACCGAGAACCTTCCCGGGGGAGAGAACCCATAGAAAAGTGTTACACTGAGATATATGATCCACATCACTGTTTGGAGGAGTGTCAAGGAGTGAGATGGAAGGAGAAAAATAATTGGTCTAGGTCCAGAGTCCACGGGTATTCTAGAAACAAAAAAAGAAGAAAAAATGCAGAAACAGAAGTATCCTAAACTTAGGTGACTTGTTTGACAGAGAGTCCACTCTGGCAGAGCTGCTGTTCCCAAGATGATACTCAGCAGGAGGCCGGTAAAGGAAATGAGGAGACCAGCAATTATAGAGTGCATGGGACTTTTAGGAGAATAATATGAAGAAGAGACAGAAGAAGAAGAATGGTATTTGGTTTGCAGTGTGGTTGGTGAGATTCCCAAGGAGCCACAAGTCCTGGAAGAGCTCTAGTGTTTGAGAAAGGGAAAGGTTAAGGACAGGTGTGGGTGGTCACTGGAGATCTTCTAATAGAGTGATTGAGTAGGTGTGAAGAGTGCAGAAGGAGAGCATCTAGGTGCCTGACTGTTCTTGGACTATTATGGGAGAAGAGTCTGGAAATCTTCAGGAATATAGGTGCTGTGGGAGAAGAGCAGAGTTTTTCTGAATTTGAGAGCTCAAGTCTGGATGTGGGCCCAGGAGGGACGTCCTTTGAGCTTTGCTGCTGTGGGAGTGCTTAAAATGACCCTGAAGGGGCCTGGCCATTTAGGTTGGAGAGGAGAGAAGGTGTCTGCTGAATGACGACAAATCTACGTGATCCCCCATCTATATGGGGGACATATGGAATCCAGAGGGCAGAGGCTTAGGGAGGAAAAAGTTGGGTAGTCCCAAAGTGAGTTGAGGAAATGCGATGAAGGGGAACCAGTGGTGGGTGGGTAGGTTAGAGGAAGGGACTGATGATAACCCAGGTAGAGGGAGAGGTTGCCCATGGAGAAGGTCAAAGGGGAGGAGTTGGGTCCAATCCTGGTGGACTTGGATGGCTAGTTTGGTAAGAGTAGACTTTAGGGACCATTTGACTCATGAAACCTTTCCAGAGGGTGGGACCACTGGGCCACTCCCTGAGTTATGGGGTGAGTGAATTCGAGCCCATTGTCCGCTTGCAGAGAGGTTGGGAGGCCAACCTCAGGGTTTCCTTCATTAGGGCAGAAGCCGTGGTGGAGGCTGTGTGGTGGGTGGTGGGGAATGTCTCCATTCATTCTGAAAAGGTGTCCACCTGGACCAATATATATTTAAACCCTTTCCAGGGTTGGGGGCATGAATAAAGTCATGCTGCCAATCTGCAATAGGGCAGGAGCCCCTGGCCTGGGGAATGGGGAAAGAAGGAGGCTTTAGAATGGAATGGTGGTGAGATTTTTGACAGAGTAAAATTTAGTTAATTCTTCCAACACGTTATTATCTGTGGGGCTCAGAAGGACCTGGGTCTTTAGGAAGGAAGTTCTAGAGTGCAGGTTAGGATGAACAGGCCCTATAAACGTATGAGGAGAGGACGAGGAGGAAGATTGCTGTGGCCAATCATGTTCTTCCTCCTTCTCCTCCTGCTCCTCCTCCTCTTCCTGCTCTTCTTCTTCCTCCTCCTCCTCCTCCAGGGTATAGGAGGGCCGAAGGGGAGGGAGAATTGGAGTAGAAAGATATACTGGGGCACGGAGAGGCCCTGGGTTTCCTCCTTACCCAGTTTACCAGCCTGATTATGGGCTTGGGTGATGTTGATGCCATCCTGTGGGTGCCCCTTGCAGTGGATTATAGCCACCTTAGATGGGAGCAGTGTTGTCTGAGAGCTTTTTAGTGAGACCCCATTGACAGTGGAGTATCCTGTCAAGTCAGAAAGCTCCTTTCCCTCCAGATTAGAGCACTGGAGTGAATTATATTGTGGGCATATTTTGAATCAGTATTTATATTAACTTCTCTTTCCCATGCTAGAGTAAGGCACTTGTTAAAGCAATCAGTTCAACCTATTTAGATGAAGTTTTTGTTGTTGTTTTGTGGGGGGGGGTGGTGGCAGAGAAACTGCTTCAATGACCTTGCAGGAAAGCAGAGCTGCTCATGATATTCTTTGATGATGACATAACCAGTCAGGAGAGGAAGTTGTTTTTTTTTTGGTCGGTCGTGGGGCTTGAACTCTGGGCCTGGGTGCTGTCCCTCAGCTCTTCAGCTCAAGGCGAGCGCTCTACCACTTGAGCTACAGAGCCACTTCTGGTTTTCTGGTGGTTTATTGGAGATATGAATCTCATGGTCTCTCCTGCCTGGGCTGGCTTTGAACCGCAATCCTCAGATCTCAGCCTCCTGAGTAGCTAGGATTACAGGCATGAGCCACCAGTGCCTGGCCGAGGAGGTTGTTTTTCTCGTGAGCTTCCATCTATAAACCAGGCAGGATCTTCAGGAAGATAAACATCCAAGATATGCCTGAATGGGTTGTGGGTCAAATCCACAGCCTCAGCGCAGATATGTAAAGTTTATCCCGTGACTGGTTGGCAGGGTGAAGCGGGGCAGGGTTGAGGGTCTTGCACTGATGGAAAGAAACAAGGGGCTGAAAGGGTGGCATAAAGCAGTTGCAGTCGGGATGGGGGTAGAGATAGGAAGGTTTTATGACTAAGTGGGTCCTTAATAGAATGGGAAGACATAATGTTAAGGGGACTGTGAATAAGGACAGATGTTGTAGCCAGGATGCCAATGAAAATGGAGTCTAGCTGCCTGGAAAGATAAGTTATCGGGTGAAAAGTGTCTCCAGCCTTTTGACATAGTAATCTAGGACTTGCTGGATTTATGTTGCCCCAACTAGAAAAATCCAGTGTGAGATATGGAAGAGAGGATTAGGAAACATGAAGCAGAGGTTGGGCAAACAGTGTTTCATGGTCAGCATGAGGGCAGAGAGGTTTACCCCTGAGGCTGCTCGGGCTAGACCCCACTGGTCCAATCAGTGCCCCTGGCCTGTGAGGGGCAAGTGATGATGGAGAACACCATGTTTCTGTTTTTGAGAAATCTGATCTCCAGAGATAGGATGCAAGCAAACAAACACAACAGTATTAGAAAAAGAAAGCCTTATTCTATTACTGAACACCTTTTCTTATTGTACGGCATCTAATCCTCAGTTCTCCCATATGTCCCATGTTACCTGGTAAGTTGCTATGAATGAATGTTTTTCTTCAAAAAAAAATTGCATGTTTTCCAAAAGCTACCAATGAGACTTGGCTTCATCAATAAAAACAAAACTACCTACTGTATGTATGTGTGTACACATATATTCATTATAAATTAAATATTGAATGCATGTGTATAAGTGTATACATATGTTTTAGTATGAATTAAATGAGTTCATATACATGAATACACACATATAATAAGTGTAAACACTGGGGAAAGTTCATAGGAAACCATGAGAAACAGGAGCAAAAGCAATCTTTTTTTTCTGTCAGAACTGCTCCCCAAATCTATTCCTTAGTAGTGACTGAATTATGTCAAATATTTGACCACCTTTTGCTTTCAAAGATGAACTTGCCTTATTTAAGTTTAAAGATGTGCAATGGCAGTCCAGCCCTCATTACTTCTCAACTAACTAGAAGGTAAAGCTAAAATTCAGAATACCAGGAGTTCACAGTGACGTTTGAAAAATCTCGCCATATGTGTATAGGAAAGCGTCATGACTTGGAGCTCTGCATGAACATGAGCATTGGGTGGTCAGAAATGCATTTGTGTCATTTCAGGCCATGGTGACATTCAGAGATGTGGCAGTAGACTTCTCCCTGGATGAGTGGGGATGGCTGAGTCCTGCTCAGAGGAATCTGTACAGGACTGTGGTGTTGGAGAACTACCAGAACCTGTTATCAGTGGGTGAGGCTCCTTCTCTCCTATAAAACCCAGAGTCTACCCTTAAGGATCCTGTGCTTTTTTATTATTGGTACTATGTTTGTTGTGTGCAGGTCAGCATGGAATTTGGGAAACAATAATCAGGTCTGATGAAAGTTTTGGTGAGGGCTGGGAAGGTGGCTCAGTGGTAGAGTGCTTACCTAGCATGCATGAAGCCCTAGGTTCGAGTCTTCAGGACCACATACACAGAAAAAGCTGGAAGTCGTGCTGTAGCTTAAGTGGTAGAGCACTAGCCTTGAGCAAAAGAAGCTCAGGGATAGTGTCCAGGCCCTGAGTTCAAGCCTCAGGACTGGTAAGGAAAAAAACATTTTGGTGAATTTGGTAAATAAGATACTCTATGTATGAGTACATCTATGAGCAGTCAGGGACTCATAACACCATACAGCTCTACCCAGGCTCCTCTGCTCCAGTGTTGTCTCTGCCCTACAGGATAATTACTCTCATCACTATGTGGTAATGAGGTTCACCAAGAATATAGCTTGATAGTTATAAGTGCATAATATCACTTTATCTGTCTTTTTATTAATCTGTGATAAATCAGGGAAACACAAACTATGAAAAGAACATCAGATACTCACCCTTAGGGAAACTCCTGCAGCCCATTCCAAGCCCCATGACCACCTCCAGCTGGCTTTCTGTTCTCCAGAGCCTATCCCCCAACCTGTTGCGCTTCTTGGAATGAAATCTATGTCTTTAGCCAAATTTGCAAAGTTTGGGACATTTTATTGAAATGTTTGTGGGTTTTTAAAAATATCTTCTTTCGGAAGTTCAGTTACACCCAGATGGGAGCCTTTGATGTTGTACATAGAAGATCTCCTCATTTGGAACAGTCAAAAGATTAAATAATTTCCACTGATGGGGCTGGGAAGGTGGCTCAGTGGTAGAACGCTTTCCTTGCATGCATGAGGCCCTGGGTTCCATTCCTTAGCACCACATAAGCAAAAAGAAAAAAGCTGGAAGTGGTGCTGTGGCTCAAGTGGTAGAGCGCTAGCCTTGAGCTGAAAAACTGAGGGACAGCACCCAGGCCCAGAGTTCAGGTCCCATGACCAGACCAAAAAAAAAAAAAAAACCAAGATAAATAATTTCCACTGATTATCTTTGACGTGACTTCTGTGTGTGATTGCAGTTTTTTCCCTCCTATGTTTAGAAGTTTTGACTTTCCTCAAGGACATTGTAAATAAAACAGGACTGGGCTAAATTTCTGCCCTCCCACACCCCTAAGAAAATACTTGACCATGTCTAGAGCTGATGTTGGCACTCTTACTGGAACATGTTGGAATTTCACGTAGTTCATCCTTCCAATGCATTTTATGCTTTCTCTCATTCCATGATGTAGTTGTATCAAAATTAGGGAAATTGTAGCCCTGAGATGACCCAAATCATAGCCTACATTAATGTCTTTTCATACACAGGAGTTTGTATTTCTAAGCCTTATGTAATCTCCTTATTGGAGCAAGGGAAGGAACCCTGGGAGACGAGCACAATGACAAGGAGCCTACTGGCAGGTGAGTCTTGGAGAACCAAGCAGGGAAGTCCTTTCTAGAGAGCTATCCTGCTTTCTTCAGAAGCTTCTTTTTAATACCTGGATTGAACTCGGGGCCTCACACTTGCTAGGTAAGCACTCTGCCCTTTTTAGCTACAACCCTCATTTTACTTTTTTTTTTGGTTGGCTGTGGGGCTTGAATTCTGAGCTTCAGCGCTGTTCCTGCACTCTTCAGCTCAAGGCGAGCACTCTACCGCTTGAGCCACAGTGGTTTATTGGAGATAAGAGTCTCATGAACTTTCCTGCCTGGGTTGGCTTTGAACCTCTATCCTCAGATCTCAGCCTCCTGAGTAGCTAGGATTACAGGCGTGAGCTACCGGTGCCCAGCTTCATTTTGCTTTTGAGAGAGGGTTTCCTAACTTTGCCTAGTTCACTTTGAATTTATTTGTTTTTTGATTTTTTTTGGATCCGGGCGTGGGGCCTGAACTCTGGGCCTGGGCACTGAGCCACCTTCCCAGCCCCGATTTATTTATTTATTTATTTTTTGGTTAGTTGTGGGGCCTGAACTCTGGGCCTGGGCACTGAGCCACCTTCCCAGCCCCGATTTATTTATTTATTTATTTTTTGGTTAGTTGTGGGGCCTGAACTCTGGGCCTGGAAGCTGTCCCTTAGCTCTTCAGCTCAAGGCTAGCACTGTACTACTTGAGCCACAGTGCCACTTCTGGCCTTTTCTGCTTAGGTGGTGCTGAGGAATTGAACCCAGGGCCTCATGCATGCAAGGCAAGCACTCCACCACTGAGCCACCTTCCCAGCCCCCACTTTGAACTTATGATCCTCCTTCCCTCTCTGGAATGACAGGCTTGGGCCACCACACCCAGCTCCAGCAGCTTCTCAAGCCTTACAGGCCAGAGAAAAAAGCTAGTTTTTTTTTTTTATTGTAAAGATACTATACGGAGGGTTACAGTTACATGAGTGAGGTAATGAGTACACTTCCTCTTGAACATTGTTAGCCCCTCCATTGTTT